CACACACACACACACACACACACATAAACAGAGGATGTGAATTCCACAACAGCCAAAAACACACAAACACAAGTCTGCACTGAATTAAAGGAAATAACACACACACCGACACACACACCTCATTACTCAGTGTCTGCTGCGGCCTGACAGTTCAGCGACTCTGCGGCGAAGCTGAAACATCCGCAGCAGACGGTTGTCGTCGTCGCAGCAGCGCTCTGGCTCTCGGCCCGTCGGGCCTCAGTCGAGCCGTTTGTCTCCGGCTACAAGTTGCTGATGTGTTTTTATGGACAGAACAGTTGGGATGAAACAGAGCGGCGTCACGTCCGGGGACACCCAGAGGGCCCCTCAGGGGTCTCCCTCCAGGGGCCCCGGAGGAGAGCCTGAGAGAAACAGTGAATGAAGGGGGCCGGGGAAGAATTAAGTCTGCAGCTGCGTCTTCATTATGTTATGAGTTATGTTTGGCAGCAAGTTCTTCTGTGGTTTGGAACGTTTCACTGAACCACATCAGATCTTTAAACGTTTAATACGGAACACGTATGTTACGATGTCGAAAAATCAATCGACATGTATGACAACGTCTGTCGTTAGATGTTTTAATTGGTTAATTAATCAACACGTATCAAGTATCAAACGTGGTTTTCGTGGGTGTTGCCGTTTGTTTTCTTCCTCGGTTGCCATGGCTTTGGTTTGTTTACGCAGCGATGTGCTTCTGCTCTTTGTGTGTCCGCCTCCAATCACGTGACGGTTTATCAACACAGACACGGAAAAACAAGCAGCCGTGACTTTAGACGCTGATACGAGAGAAACTCTGAACAAACAGGATAAAAAAAGATCGAAGGTAAATCCCTGAAAATGAAAAGAAAACCCTCTAATTACTGAGCTGCTGCATCAGACGATAGAGAAAACAAACACGCGGCTGCACAGACGAGAACGTTTGCACAAAATAAAAGAGGTGAGGATTAAAGCAGATGTATGGACGCACGTGAACTGAGCGGGAAACACTGACGGATAAGAACAAGATATCTGGGATGTAAAAAAAACAAAAAACCATCAGTGAAGGTTTCATGGAACTAGAATTACGGACCCTGTGGTTCTACGTCTCCGCTACCCAGAGTTCAGTCTACATGCTGAGGTCATGTGACCTTTCACCTCTGACCTCTGAAATCGAATCAGTTCATCGTCAACTGGTCAAAATGTGAAGAAGTGTCCTGAAGGCAGAAGTGAGACGTCAGGGACAAGAAGCCAAACACACGATGCACCAAGTCTGAGATGTTGATTTCAGAAGAATCGACAGACTGACAACACGAAGCCACTGAAACTTTCACCAGTGCAGAGGAAGAAAAAAATAAAACAAGGTTTTCTGCTGCAGAGTTAAAATGATAAGAGGCGGAATGCAGGGATGGACGGTGATTCTCAAACCTCCGTCAAACCATAGACTGTAGCGTCAAACATGGAGACCTCTCAACAACAGGAGTGTGGCGCCATCTGCTGGTCACTCACCTTTCTGCAGAGTCTGCGCTCGAGACGCTCTCCCAATTCCTGCGATGTGAGAATCTCCAAAACTCGGATTTGCAGGTCCAGCTGAAAAAAGGCAGAGGACAGAAGTTCATGTTCAGAATGTTGTGGAGTCTAAACCCAGAACATCTGCTGCTGCTCCTGCACAAGAGAAACACAAACTCCAGAAGATGTCGGGAGACATTTCCTGACATTGTCCAGAAAAAACAGCTTTAAACATCGAAATTAAGTTAGAGCTGCAAATACTGTTTTATTTACAACGATGATTTCATTTAGAGAATTTGTTTTGAAAGCAGAAAGACATTGTTTTACTATTATAATGAAGTAAAGTGTGTTTTTTATTTTTCCTTGTGTTGTGTTGGATGTTAATTGTTTTATCATTAGTATCGTTAACAGCAAATTAAATCCAACAGGAGGAAGATAAATGTGCAGGAAAGGAAATGTAAATCTTTATATATCAGAATTTATTTTTAATAAAGAAAAACAAATGTGTTTCTGCAGCGTAATCCAACAGCTCCCTCTCATGGACAGTCAGAGGAACTGCACCACAGAAGATAAGGTCCGACAGAAGTCGTCTCTGAGTAAAAAGTTGTTACGGCTAAAGGTCAAAGATAATCTGAAGGTTACACACAGAGATAAGCAGCTGTGGCCCGACACACCGTCAGAGGAAAACTATTACCCAAGAGCCTCGCTGTTCCCGAACGTCCAACGTTATTGGATTCTGCTCTGACAGAGTTCGACCCCTGAGACTCCAGAAGTGTTCTGTGGACTCAAACTCTCCACCCACCCTCGTAGATAATGAGTGACTTTTCATTTTTACAGTGAACTATCCCTTTAAAGACTCCACCCAACACAGACCCCCCCCCCTCACCCGAGCAGGAGGTGCAGGAGGTCAAACCCTCACTGGCCCTGAGACCTCCTACCTCAACAGATCCAAACCTGTCCCTGGTTTGTCTTCATTCAGATGATGTTATATTATTTATATATTATATATTTTCCCTTCTGGATTTTGAAACCTGCTCCAGAAATGAAGATTCCGGTTAAAATCAAACCGATCATTTTAGAGCTGCATGTGTTTTGTGGTTCTCACAATCTGAGGAGACGAACTGTCCGACGGCCAGCGACGCTCCTCCTCCCGACTCCACAAACTGCACCTCGGACACGATGATGTTGTCCTCCAGCACGGAGCCGCAGCCCATGCAGACGACGTCGCCACGCGCCTGGTCCACATCGATGTCCGAGCTCCCGCAGCTCTTACACACCCGGGGGCTCATGGCGTCGCTCGGGAGGCCGCAAAGCCTGATGGGAAAAGACGGTTTGAAATTAAATCAGAGGTTTTAGAGATTAGATGTTTTTCTGTCGACTCTCGAACCGTTCATTGATCTCGACTGATCTTTAAAGTCAACTGATGATGCAACAATCGACAAACATTTGTCTGCAGCCATTTTGAGACATATAGAT